ACAAAGGGAAATTTGGGGAAAAATAAAGTCACATCCACCCTGTCATCTTGTCAAAAAAAACCCACACACATGAAGGGAAATTTGGGGAAAATGGAGAAGAACACTGTGGGACACAAATATGCCGTTGCCTGTTGGTGATGGCATGTATCATATTCTCAGCTCGCCTGAGATACTGAGACGTTGCTCATGCTGGGTAAGACTTCTTTATAAACTACGTGATGTTTAACAATTGGATGTATAAATAATAATAATAAAAAAAGATGAAAAAATGTAAAACACACATGGATATGGCAGACAGAAGGTGGGGATTATAATTCATACATTTCACTTTTTCCTAAAAACGAGTCCCAGATACAGGGATGACAACCCCGGACTCCCTAGTTTCCTAGTAAAAGCTGAAAAGAGGAAAAGCCGAGCCGCAAAGGTGGAAGGAGACCCTCTCCTGTGTCACAGGTCCTGCATCAAGAAGCCACCCAACCTGCCGGACTCCAATCTGACAAAGATGTCACGCTCGAGGAGAGTTCTGGAGGGTTACTGCCAGTGGTTTCTAATGCGACTTCTGCCCGCTTTGTAACCTTTACAACCACACAGGCTTAACTTTCCTAACAGACGAGTTTACTACACGAAGCAAACATCCAGGCTGGCAGCACTAGGCCCCAGGACGGCGAGTGGGACGTTGTGGGAGGGCCCAGGCAGGTCCTTTGCAGGCAGCCCTGCGACTGGTCGAACAGACCAGGAGCTCAGCAAGGTTTGCAGAGCCTGCCAGCAGTGGGGGTAGGAAAGGACCAGGAGGCAAGGAGGCCAAACCTCTGCCTCAGACAGGAGGTGCAGGTCCAGGGGAGTGAGAGCACCCAGATCCTGCAGGAGGAGGTCAGAGCACCGCAGCTGGTCCTGCTAAGCTGCTAAAGAGGGGGCAGGGCTGGCTGGCTCTCGGGTCTTAAAACCCACGCACCGCAGTCCGTGCGAGCCAGGTCGGGGCCTGAGGGCTGGCATATGGCGACAGCCTCACTGCCCAGCCCTACCCGCTTCACAGTGAGGTGGGGGCGCACGGAGGTCCAGGCAGGCAAGGGGCACTGGCTGCCTGTCTCCCGTCACCTGCTTAGGGTCCGTCGGGACCCAGAGTATGGAACAGAGCAGGAACCCTACAACTCTCACCAATGCACTCAGATCCCCCTAAGCCGGGGGCAAGAGGCTGGGGTAGGGCAGGGAGCAGCTCCTTGCTGAACACTCAGGATTTGGTTTGTCTTCTGTGTGCTAACAGGACACAGCAGGCGTGCACAAGTCAGACCCTGACAGCCTCAGCATTCTTACGAAAACTTGACCTGAGGGGCATGTCCACAACGTCGGTGCCTGTTCTAGGCCAGGAGTCTGAGTCGCTGGTTCCCTCTGACTCCCCAGAAGGGCAGTTCCCCTCAGGAGGGCCAGCACTTAGCGGCCAGCAAGGCCAGGCTAGAACCTGGGGCTTGGGCTCCAGGGCTCCCTCCTCTCTGAGTGATAAGGCCCCTCTAGCTGCAGCTCCGGTTCCTCCCAGGAGGAGTCTGGGCAGACAACAGGGCATGGCGGGGCCTTGGCTAAAGCTGCACTTCACTACCTTTTTTTTTTTTTTTTACTGAGACCATATGTCTATGCAGGGAGGTTTTAAAGGAGTGGGTGAAGGTTATGGAAGGTTAAGCACCCTAAACTCTAATGTAGCAGACCTTGAGAAATATTTGCTCAGTTGATTCCCAAAGAAGTAAGACCCAACAATTGCACAGGGCCCTTCATAGCGCCAAGATTCAAAGGCAATGCCCTCGTCTCTGCAGAGGACCTGGTTAAGTCACCGAGGCAAGGAGAATCTGGGCCTAGGCCACACAGAGAACAGAGAACGATGGCAAGGACACACACGCATGCAGGGGCCACGCTGCCACCCTGCCCTCGGCATGGGCAACTTCAGTGGGTGAACTGAGCCCTGGCCCACACTTGGAGCACCATCAAGTTTCTTTGTTCCCGTAATACCTGAAAACGACCACCACCTCTGGAGGCTGTTTGCATGCTCAGCGGGACACAAAGCTGAGGGCTGGGCATTCAGAGAAACAGGCACCGTCTTCAGGAGAGCTGACGGGGCTACAGAGGCCCTGGGACCACATCGAAGACAGATCAAGGGGGAAGGGACAGAGGACCCTCCTTAGTGCAGGTTAGGGTTCTTCTGGACAATCCTGGGCACCTATTCAGGGTGGTGTGTTTCTCAGTCTACGCAGGGCCGTCCCCATCCTGTCCTCATCGGTCACCTCTGTAGCCAGGAGCAGGCCCTCCTCCTGAGGGACCTCCTAGGGTGACAATTAGCCCAGCCACACCCTCGTACCCACAGCGCCATCAGCCACACAACCATCGCAGGCGGAAATGCCCCTAGCACCCTCTCCAAGCAACCTCTAATGTTCAGGTCTGTCCCTCTGCCATCAGGACTGGGGTCAGTGCCAATCCACAAGGCCGAGACTCCATTCTAAAAAGCAGGGCTGGTTTGCTCCTGGAAGGACAAGCAGGCGCCACAGGGCAGAGTTCTATTTGCTTGTCACTCACATGGAGTTTACAAACTCAGAAACAGCCCTATCCGGCACCCGCCGAGGAATGAAAGTAAAAACTCAACTTGGCCACATCTTCCCTGATTAGCGGTACTGGGCTCCCACCATGTGGGCTTTTTGGTGATGAGCAGATACGCAGGTACTGTCGGCTGGACAGGAAGCTAAGGGACAGGCCACTGTCACTGGCCATGGCACTCCAACAGCCGTAAGCACTTACAGGCTTTTTTTCTTTCCCTCTGGTTTTTCCCAGACTCTTTAAGGGGCACTGCGGGTTTCTCATCTCCCTACCTAAGCACGCTTCACGAAACACCTTTATTATAGACAGGCAGGTTTTCCCAGTGAGAACGCTTCAGCTCTAGAAAAACACTTTACGACCTGCACTTCCATCTCCCAGCTTACCACACCCTGTTTCTCCTGGCAAAGCCCTCAGAGCTTCAAGTCCAGTGGAGAATTTTCTCTTAATTCCACCAGAGTAAGACAAGGCAGGCAGCGGACATGTCCCTTCACAGTCCCCATGAAAGCGGGTTGAGGACCACAACAATTTGGAATAATGTCTCGGCAATACCCGGGCCTGAAAATCTGCTTTAAACCTCATTCTCAACCTGGGTCCTTCCTCAGCCCACAACTTCCTTGGAAAACCCTCCTAGCCCCTCCTCCCCTAGCTTCACAAACAGCCAAAGTGCCAGCCGATTTCATTTCACTTTTCATCCTTTTTGACATTGCTCGGCAGGGCGAAAGTTGAGTTGGAAAGGCCAGAAAGTCCCCGTGCAAATTCTAGTAAAACCGAACAGTTTTAGTTAAACCCAAGAAAAAGAAGACCAAGTTTCTAAACAGCCCAGATGGCTGGGGCCCTTGTGATTGAGGCTGGGTCATCCCGGCTGGTCCCTGTAGTTCCTGGCTTCCTTCTTGGGTGGCCGCCTGAGCCTAAATTGGAGCGGCCCCCCACCAGCCGTAAGCACTTACAGGCTTGTTTCCTGTCCTGCTGATTTATCCCAGACTCTTTAAGGGGCACTGCGGGTTTCTCATCTCCCTACCTAAGCACGCTTCACGAAACACCTTTATTATAGACAGGCAGGTTTTCCCAGTGAGAACGCTTCAGCTCTAGAAAAACACTTTACGACCTGCACTTCCATCTCCCAGCTTACCACACCCTGTTTCTCCTGGCAAAGCCCTCAGAGCTTCAAGTCCAGTGGAGAATTTTCTCTTAATTCCACCAGAGTAAGACAAGGCAGGCAGCGGACATGTCCCTTCACAGTCCCCATGAAAGCGGGTTGAGGACCACAACAATTTGGAATAATGTCTCGGCAATACCCGGGCCTGAAAATCTGCTTTAAACCTCATTCTCAACCTGGGTCCTTCCTCAGCCCACAACTTCCTTGGAAAACCCTCCTAGCCCCTCCTCCCCTAGCTTCACAAACAGCCAAAGTGCCAGCCGATTTCATTTCACTTTTCATCCTTTTTGACATTGCTCGGCAGGGCGAAAGTTGAGTTGGAAAGGCCAGAAAGTCCCCGTGCAAATTCTAGTAAAACCGAACAGTTTTAGTTAAACCCAAGAAAAAGAAGACCAAGTTTCTAAACAGCCCAGATGGCTGGGGCCCTTGTGATTGAGGCTGGGTCATCCCGGCTGGTCCCTGTAGTTCCTGGCTTCCTTCTTGGGTGGCCGCCTGAGCCTAAATTGGAGACCCAGACATGCCCTTATATGTAGCCCATGCTGGTGGAGTTCATTTAAACTTCTTGTCCCTTAACTGGTTTTGGTAGAAAAACGGGATCACCACGCTCACCCTCAAAACACTCGCTGCCCTGTGGTCACTAGGGAAACACCTCAGGGTGCTCCTTAATCTCGGAAGGCACCTCTTTCTTCGTGTCCCCCAACTTGGCAAACTCGCTTTCCCCTACAGCACACCTCAGACGCGAGTAGGGGCTCTATCAGGCCGCCAGCCTTCGCGGGCAGCAGGCAGGCACTGGTGACACGTTACCTGCTTCCCACCGAGGCTCCCAAAGGTCAACACACCCATGGCCACCCTGCGACTGAGCGGCAGAACCGGGTTATAGCCCAGGGTGTCCGGGTTAAGCCCCTCGCCGGTCCCACTTTGCTGCCCGGCCTAGGCGCGGCTGCCTTCCGCTCTGGGAGAAGCCTGGACCCGGCGCGTGCGGCCCAGCCGGGCCCGGGGGGGGGC